GTAAAGGAGCAAAATTGAAACTTTTACTCAGATTACATTTAAATGTAGGTATCATAGGCATTTCTCTTCATAAAGACACATTTGCGTTTAAAAAAGTCGAATAATAAAATCAAAAGATTTTTGAATTTTTAGCTGCATGATTTTTTAATTTCTCTAATTTTCAATTTTTATACCAGTCGTTCTTAACCTTTCTTGCTCCATGCACCCCTTTCACCACTGCTAGATGATCATTCCCCTCCTCCTTTCCTAAACTCAAATATATATATACATATATTTGTAATAATAAAATTCCATAGTCAAGAACACAATTAAAATTCTAACTGTATGTTCTTTTCATTTTTAATGGCGACGTTCTCTTATTTGAAAGTACGTGGAATTAAATCCACAGCCCCGTAGTCAAGTTGTTTTTCCCGCCTTTTCTACACGTACAGTTTTAGAATGTTCTGGAAATATTTCAAGCGAACTGGATTGGCTGACGAGGCTGACGTCATTTCATGGAAGCTCCGCCTTTCCAGAGGCTATAAAAAGACTCGCAAAAGGAATATCGGGGCTTTTTCTTAAATGTCACGATGCAGTAAACTTCATACAAAACGTTATTAGTAATTCTTTTATTTACTCCGGATATCTGATTTTTGTAACTGCTATTTTCTCCTGAATAATAAATAATGGATCCTGTTTTTTAAACTTATCGTCTGATTATTAAAGCTACGACTAAATTTATGATTCTTCAACAATCTATTTATTCCTGACTAAAGCTGTTACATCACATATATATTTAGAATTATATTTATTTTTAACGTGTTTTACAACGACAAGATTAGAAACTATGGTGAATATCAAAACTTAAGCAAAAGCAGTTTTATATGTGATGATTTGTAGAGTCGTCGTGACTAAGCTTGGCATTGTGATGGCTTAATGGTAAGGCTGAATCCAAATGACGACGCATGATTTAGCTTTCAATTATACATTTTTATTCCATTCGAATGGTAGAATTTAGATTAACTTCTCCAAATTATATATTTAATAGTAATTTAAACTAAGTACGACGAATTTTGACTTTCTGCGTCATAACTTTTTCTAACAAAGGAAAGATGGCATAAGCAGCAGTGAGGTGCGTAGCGCAATCGGAGAGGAAATTTCTTCTGCGTAGCAAAATGGCGCGAGCTCATTATTTATACAAGTGGTTACGTAACGGACTAGAGAATTCTGGAAGGTACTGGTCGAGAGGGAAGATCCTAAATTACAGAAAGTTACTTAGAGGTTAAGTGTTTGCATAGAGCAAAGGCATCGTATTTTTTATATTTTACATATATATATATATATATATTCATAAAATAAAACTAAATACTTAAAGAACTGACAGCATTCCCTCTTGAAACTATGAAATTCCCTCCTCAAGGGACTAATATTTGTTCCCTGCACTTGCCAAAAACTTTTGTAGAATTGTAAATTCTACTTCAGAGATCAGATGTTTACTGAAGAGTTTCAGGCGTTCGCTGATATATATATATTCCGACGACAATATACAGAATAGCATTGCAATCAGTTTTGAGCAGTTGCTGTGAAATGTTTTCACAGTAGTAGTCGTTATTTTTTTGGAGTTGTAAATTTATACACTTGGTTATTCTAGAAATTCTCCAAAACTTGAAGAATATTTACATTCCCATATGAATAACCTCATCTTCTTTGAGCTGAAGAACATTTAAAACGTACCTTCTTGATTTTGTCCTATATATGTTGCATTTTCTTCCCTCGTCTACTAATTTCTGAGAGCAAAACTTACAGCAACACGAAATTTTGGAAAATACTGAATCATATGAACGTTGAATAGTAAGAGCAAATGTGGCATTTCGTCGTAAACTGCTGAATATTCTAAATAATCGAAATTCAAAGAAAGTATCTCTTTCGTTAATATGGGAAAAATGAATATTTATTCTCCTAAAAACTCAGGAAATCTATCACATTAACAAACATAAACTATCGGCAAACGCTTTTCGTGAGACACCGAAAACGAAAATTTAACAGAAATAAATATATTAAAAAAAAATTCACTGATGAGCATCACTAGCAAACAACCGTCCAACCGAGATAGTGGTTAAACTGCCGTACCGGTTCGAAGAAGGCAATGGTTGTAAATGTATAGTGTCTGTGTGGCAGGGGGCACTATAAATATGCGGCGAACCCAAAGTCCTCGCGAGAGGTTGGTGGTAGGAGAAGAAGGCTGGGAGACCATTGGACCGTCCTATCCCCCCGGGTGCTCTCCATTAAAATTGACGACGAAACTGAGCAAAGTCTTAATGTCAGCTGTATGGTACTCAAGCTCTTGCCAAACGACAGACGGAGTCTTGCTCTCCATGCCTCGATGAATTTCATGGGCTTATTTTGATGTTACTCTCAGACAAGTGAGTATGTCACAATAGCAACAACTAGTGTTTTTCAGTACCTAAAACGTCAACGGCAGCTCACTTTTTGGAACCTCTGTGAATACTCGATGACATCACAAATTCGTTAATTCTGTGGAATTTGAAGATGTTTACAAAATATTTTTGAAGTTATGTACAGGAAAATAAACAGTGTAAGATAATGTATGATGCGCATGTCCATTTATGCTGATAAAAAAATGTGTAGACTTTTATAAAATATTCACATATTTTCTATTTTGGTTGAAGTATGGGCAAGTAAAGAAGACTTTGTGTACTAAGTATTTGTGCCATATGATATAGTTTAGTTTGTTTTCGCTTTGATTATTTGATTACAGCAAAGCATACAAGGGCTGTAAGCATAAGAGGATGGATGCCTTCGTGGATGACTTTCTAAGGGAGAAGGACTTCTATACACGTTAGATATAGGGAGAACCACGAAAACGCACATGCAGCCAGCTCATTAGCCAGGATTCGAATCCCGCGCCGAACTACCAATCTTCAGCGACTTTACCGCTCGACCGCTGATGGGCCCGCTGTACGAAGTAGATTGAAAAAAAAAAAAAGAAAAAGAAAAAAGAACAAATTTATTTAATCAACTAGCAGCTGACTACAAAATCTGATTCAGAGTACTTAGAATGTAGTAAATTAAAAATAAGTCTTAAGAAAAATAACTGCAAGTCACTGAAAATTCAGTGACTTGCAGCCATAAAAACGTAAAAACAGATAACATTTTCCAAAAGGTTATGGATAAGACATTTCTTCTTGAGAAAATCATTTTTTGCGAAACGTGAAGATACCATAATTACTTTTAATATTTGTGTTTCAAAATTTAGTTGTGATGTAGGGAAAAAAATATTAAAGATTGACGTTGCGTTGCTGGCGTCCATGTTGATGTAAAAATTCCCATCCTAACAGAATGCCACTCGTAGGCGACGTTCGCGATGAGGTACCAATCTAAATAGGAAGCAATACGTAGGGTGACGTCCCAACAATAAGTGTTCTAAACAGAATGAACCACGTGGCTAACCGCCGTGAGTACCTCAGTAAACCACACTCACTATGCGCCTCAGACTCCTCTGCTCCTCAGTAAGCCTGTGGCAAATCTCGCCCTCTAAGCTCCTCAATAAGTTTTTCCACTGTGATAACTCAGATCTCTGATATCTGCTAGTGCAGAACTGGCCTTTTTAACCTACTGTTGACTTCTGGCATTAGAAATGACTTTAGCAAGCTACTTATTGTATCTAGTCACTACAGACTGTACTTTTGTCTCCATGTACCTGTGTCAGTTGTTTGGCCTTTCTTTTTATCCTGTTTTCTATTGAACATTATCATTCTCGATTCTGCTTCGGAAATAGCTAGATGAATTATACACATTTATAAACAAAATTCGCGAAAATTATCTTTTAATTAATAAATGAAGTTTCCGAGTTTATCTGCTGTACGCCACGATTCCAACTTTATCTTATGAAAGTGGGTGTCTTCTTATAAGTTCAACTAAATTTTTAAATCTCAGTTATTTCTTACGGTGGCTGCATTATCTAATCCACTAGTGTATTATCAACAAATCAAAATTAAACTCGTCAAATCTGCGTCCCCCATTTTTTTTTCTTCTCAAACCTGCATTCAGGAAATTATTTTATTTTAAGAAAAACTAAAATTAAAGATACCTGAATTTTAAACGAACACTGAACCAGCAAATATCACCAGATATCTTTAATCTTATCAAATTTCTTTTCATACGCTGATGTGTAGTTCCGATTTTAAAATCACCTCTGCTAATCTTCCCATTTTTAGTTTCAAGTTATATTACATTATTAAAGTGTTAATTATCGGCACGCCTTCATAAACTACACATCTGAAAGGTATTGAGGCACAAAATATTAATCTTCCGAATCATAATAATATTTACTTTGCTTTACCAGTGAGACAAAGTTTTAAAGCAACATATGCCTTTCTTAGTAATTTTCGCATTAGAAATATTTATAGTTTTTTCGTATTTCATATCATGTTGTTACTTTACGCCACCACTGTATGAATCATTCACCCTGAATTCTGAGAACAACTGTCGCTAAATGTCCAAAGTTTAGCAGTGCGTTATTTATTAATGTAAGAATACATGATTTACTAATGTTAAATTGTTTTAATGTATATGCAGTTGTTGATAAATTTTAGCTTCATTATAATATTTTTACTTCTTATATTATTTTATTTTTTATTTTATTTGAAGATATTTCATCCTATCTTTTAAATCGAAGGATTTAAAGCCAGTGTAATAAAATGTTTATTTAAAAACAATATGCTGTTTTGTTAATAGAGATCACTAAAAAAGATTTATAAATTTATTTGATTAATAATTTTAATTAGCATTTATACGATTAAACGAATCAATAAGAAAATTTTGTAATGCTGAACATTTGGTTGGGAATAATCATTTGCTCCGCATATAATCAGTTAACATTTGGCTGGAAATAATCATTTGCTTCTAATATAATCCGTTGCAAGTACAATGTTTTAATTATTTTTAATGTTATTTATCGTGTTTTCCGTTACTCATTTGAATTTCCTTATTAATTTCAGATCCTGGTTAGCGGTCCGGGCCCTATGTCCCCTTGCTGTCAGCCTTCAGGCGGCGTGCCGGAGAGCGGCCACGGCTCCCCGCCGCAGACGGCCGCCGTCTGTAACTTGAGCGCCGCCTACGACTCCCGCCTGCTCTCCTCCTTCCCTCGCCTGGCCACGGGGTTCGGCCTCTACGGCTCTTCGTACGCCGAGCAGGGATACATATCGACGCTTGCCGGAACCAATCCCTCAGCCTTCTACTCCTCCTTAGTGAGTACAGCAAAACGTTCCCTTCTCCATTTTTTACCCGGAAACACTTACCGTTACCAGACATGGCACGAAATCTTCTCTAAGCACACCCGAGCCAATTATGCTTTTAACAGATTGGCATGTCGCTAAAGTCCGCAATATAATATTTTCTCACTTTCTTTTTATGTATTAACTTTCATCACTTTCCTATCTAATTTCTTAATTCTTCACAAGCACAACATCCCCTTATAGGCCCTAGCTGCTTCAAATACGCGCTTCTTTCAGCGTCTTCTCTCTGCAGTGATTTCTCTTCAATTTTTAATTTTCAAAGTATTAAGTCTTTTTCAATGTCATCTAACCATCTAGTCGGTGGTCTTCTTTTAGCTCGAGATCCCTCAATATTTTTTAATAACAAGATCTTAGTGGGATCAAATTTACCATATTTTAATTATACGTCTCCTCTTTATTTCTAATCTGAATCATTGCCTCGTTGGCCTCAAGCTCTCTTCAACTCTAAGAGCTTCGTTATTTTATTATTATTGTTGTTTGTGGAATCCCTTCTACTTTCAAAAAGAAAAAAAACTTTAAAAATCTAAAAAAAAAAAGTCACTTAAAATCAGAAAACTATAAAATAATAGTAGAATTATCAGCAAAAGAAAAATGAATCTATTTCATCATTATTTCATAAAAAAAGTATTTTTTAAATTGTTTAGGGAGGCGTATACTTTATACTCATAATGTCGGTTCACTTTTTTCAACTGCTATATAACAGCAAAGAGGTTCATGTTTCTGACGTTCTTGTTAAAAGAGAAAAATACTAAATGGTTTGATTAAATATTTTAATTAGATACCAATGTCCCGACGCTTAGTATTTCGAGAATTTATTCTTAATTTCTTTGAATTTTTTCTGAGGGTATTTGACAGTCAATGAAGTGAAAATCATGTACGAGCCTATCGTACAAACGTAATCAATACACACACAACATTTCACACACAAAGCTATCTTTTTGGTCCAAAGGGATTTGAATCCGAAGGACTATTAGTGTCGGTTTTTGGGCATTTGCGTCGGAGTCATATGAAAATTTTCAAAAGTGTATAATTAGAGTAGCTTAATCTGCATAAATGTATAATTTGTTAAAACAACATGAGTATCGAATGTTGAAATATCTGCAACGAATATGAGCATTAAACCAAAATTGAAATTTGAAATTTGTTTTATGATCGATTTCCTATTTTTAAAAATTTGACGAATTTTGATTAACAAACTCAAGGATTTCAAGCGAGCAATGACGTTGTGCAAAAAGAACATTTTTATCTCCAGCGCGTGAGTCTCGTATCGGAAATTCCTAAAGATTTGCTCGTTTTAAAAATTTTGCGAAACTATTTTATTTATGGTGTTTGCGAGGAACATGAATTTAATTAAAGAAAGGGTAACAAACAAAACGGTTAAAAACGCCCCTTTTGGACGTAATTTAAAATCTGAAACATTTCGATTTTTTTTATTTTATTTATTTTGATCTAGTAAGGCATTATTAAAAAATACTTTATGTATAACTTTAGCTCTAGGCAATATTAGGCAGTTTTTCGCTTTGCTGATAGAGGGCAAATAGACAATTTACCTTTGATATCTAGTTATATTTAAAACTCAGAAGATGAAGTTAATATTTTAAACACATACAGAACACAATCGAAGACTTGTAAATCTTTTAAAAACAAACAGCAAATTTTTAAACATACTGTAAAAAATCATCATCTCTTCTAATTATAATAAATAGTGAGAAATGTGGATGAATTGTTTTAATTTGAAATAACTTATCATTTTTAATAAAATGTTTTTAATGAACTATAAATAATTTTTTAATTATCGATGTATGTTTTTAAAAGATTTACAAGTCTTAAGCTTGCGTTTTTTGTGTGAATATATTCACTTTTCAAATCTTCTTAGCGGGCGCAGCACACCAAAAAACTTAATTTCCCTGAAAGTACCGCAGAAACTAAGGCATCCGCCTTTGCAATTTTCTGACTTCTAATGTAAGCAACATCGTGCACTGCCGTTGGCGTTCCTCAGGACGATTACATAAAACTTTACCCTAAATATAAGGGTTATTCTGCTTGAATTGTCGAGCAAGTTGCTATTAGCTTCATTCAGAAATATAGGGTAATTATTTTAGTCGATTAGTTTTAAGATCCTCGTGGTATTCAAAAAAGTTTTCGAATTCTGAAATTCGAACTTTCAGAACTTCTATATGATTTTAATGAAATCTTAAGGCTCCTTGGAAACTGTTTGAAGAGCAATAATTGCAGTAATTAATAATATAACAATTGTTATAGTAATACAGTAATTATTTATACGAAAGAGTCCATGGTATCCAATTTCCAACCATTCAATATTTTTTTCTATCAAACCTACCATGAAACTATAATTTCAAACTGAAAACAAACAACAGTAATTATTATCATTATAATACTATTTGCTGTACCCTGTGTAAATATATCGTGAATACAGTTTCCAAGTAAATTCGATCTCAGAACATATGGTATCTTTGAAGCACCGAAAGGACACAAATCCGACCATTCCTACCTCCGTTTTCTTCATTTAACGTAAAAGTATGTTTAATTTTTCATATAGAGTTGTATCGAGAACGCATGTGTGGAAGTAAATGTAAAAAGACAATCTCTAATTATCCCATTTGTTGATAGATGTCTGCAATCTGAAATCAGAATACAGTTTGCTGTAGCTTAAATAGAAATTTCAAAAGTTTTATTAATAGGTGCGTGTGAGATTATGGCAAAGCCTCGAAGCCTATCTGCCTAAGGGAAGGGACGCCTTCGTGGAGGACTTTCTAAGGGAAACTGGCTTGTATACACGCTACACATGGGGAAAACCATGAAAACGCCCATGCAGCCAGCCCGTTCGTGGGATTCGAACCTCGGACCGAACTACCACTGTTCAGCGACTTTACCGCTCGGCCGCTGGTGGGCTTTTTATTAATAATTTTTATAGTGATAAATTGCTAGCAGAGTATGGATTCTTGTCTGAAGGGAATGAATTGCCCTGCCTATAAGTTTTTATAAGTAAGTTTTATAGAATTAAAAATTTTCGTATATTACTTTATTTTTCGCTAGCCAAGGAGCATGTCCCGCCCCCTTAACGACTTTATTTTAAATTAACTAGATCTTCCACAATTTTTTTTTTTTTTTTTTTTTTTTTTTTTTTTTTTTTTAAAGCCCAAAGGTTAAATTGCTCAAAAGGGCAATTAATTTCGTTTTGGCATTCTGCGTCGTTTACTATAAAAAGGTGTTTCACTTTTCAAATTCTTTGCCACCAAATATTAGAACCCTGCATTATATTTAAAGAAATTAAATAATGAAGAATCTGCGTGAATCGAGGAGTTAAAACAGCTGAATTTTGTAAACAAAAAATACTTTTTCTTTAAGTGATGCCGTTTTACATTTGACGAGACCGTTTCTATGCTCATGCCTGTACAATACTGCTATAAATAATTTTTAAAGTAACAGATAGCCTGCCTGTGTATTGCACGTGCTATGAAACAACTACTTTGCCAACTGCCGATTTTCGACAGCTTTATACTATTTTAAGTGCTTTTGAAATAATACTCTGCGTTTATTTTCATATATTAATTTATTTATTACTAGCAGCTTCGCTGCTAGCCTTCGTCTGGCTTTTAAATGTACCGAAAAAATGGCTGAAGGGAACACCAAACGTTAAATTTAAAAACTGCTTAGAATTTTACTCTGCAGAACAACTTCATAAAAAAAAGTTATTACGTATAACAAAATTACAATGAAATAAGCAATATCCCTTAATACAAATATTAATTATCCTAATAAATAAATTAACCTTGCCTTTGCAAAATCTTAAGAGCTCAAATGGTATAAAGGAGGTTAAGAACTTTGTTTTCTAAAAAAATCACTGAAAACTTTTCAATATCTTAAAAACAGTGAAATGAGCAATAAATAACATAAAAGAATACAAAAAACAAAAAAAATTCTGAAAAGCAAAGTATAATTAATGATATTTTATCTTATATTTTCAAGAGAAAAAAATTAAAATGAAATAAGCTATATCCCTTAATACAAATATTAATTATCCTAATAAAAAATTAACCAACTTTCTGTTGAAGAAAAAAATCATGCAAAACTTTTCAATATCTTACAAATAGGGAAATAAGCAAAAAATAACATGAAAGAAACTCAAAAAACAAAAAATTTGCGCAGAATTTTACTCTGCAGAACAACTTTATGAAAAAAAAAATCAATAAAAATGTATTATATATATATATAAATGAAAATGAAATATGCCACCAATCTCTTAAAAACAGTGACATAAGAAATACGATGAAAAATTGTTGCCAAACCCATATTTCTAAAACAACGAAACTATTTAAAATGATGCGATTTCATCAAAAATCTATCAACAACAATAAGAAAGGAAAATTGTTGCCAAAATCACATTTTTAAAGATGTGAGAAGTGTACTCGGAAGCTTCATTTAGAAATTTTTTTTATATCATTTTTCCAAAATTCTTTTTGTAAAAGCAGTCGCAAGGATGAAAGTTTAACGTGTCCAAAAATCAAAGAAAAATAAACTTTTTTAGAAAAAATCCCGTTGAAAAGGTGTTAAGCTCCCTTTGTTAAATAAATTCGTATTGAATCGATTTATTGAAACACGAAATTTATTTTAAGTTCGTAAAATAGCTAAGTGCCTACGTTTCGTGACAAAGTGAAAATAGAGGGTGTAGAGTAAAATCTCGCTTTCCTATAGCCCATTATGTCTCAAAATGACGCGATTTCGTCACAAAACATAAGATAAAAAAAAATTCTAATTCGAATTTCGAAAAAATCGCTTCAAGGTCTTGTCTAGATGAACCTATGTACCAAATTTCGTAGCCGCGGGCCTATTAGCTTACGCGCAGCGCGAACAAAAGACACACTGACACACACACAGAGAGACTCTTTCTTTTATTATATGTAGAGATTAGCCGAAAGGGGCTTTGTGCC